GCAATGAAAGACCAGCATCCCATAAAATGCCTTGGCTAAGCAAGCTGGGGGCTTTAAGTTGCCCCATTAATAGCGAGGACCATATTTTACCCTAGGAGGAAATATGGGATTGTGTCTTAAAAAAGCAATTGAGAGAGTCTGAGGAGGAGTGTTTGGCTTCTTGAGGGGCTGATGTGGGGAAAGAGCTGGGCTGGTGGCAGGTCTGGAGCGACATGGGCAAAGGCCGGTTGATGGGCTCCGGACAGCAGAGGGCCATCTTTGGGCCCATGAGTCCTCAGCAAAGCTCAGGAATGGCTACTGAGGGTGGGCTTTCTTTGAGGAAATGGAGGCTGAGAGTGAACTCTAGAAAAGAGGCTGTGGAACAGAGGCAAACACGTAGGTCACCATGGGATCCTGATCTTGAGAAATTATTTGAAGTTTGCAGTGACCTTGGGGTTGCTACCAGCTATGGGACTAGGGTCAGAGAAAGTACGTTGGAGTTAATAGGATTTGGATTTTAAGACATGGAGGCTGATATCTGTAATAATTGTTAATTTGTTTTATAAACATTAGGTATCAGCATTGTGCTACCAGCTCCTTTTTGGGGCCTGGGGACATAAACACCGAAGTGATGTAGTCAGATGAAATATCACTGTAGTTGGTGGCCAGCCTCAAAAAGGACCTGCTTTAATAAAATGATAAAAATTGCCTATGGGCCTTGGGATATAGTTCAGTAGTAGAGTGCTTGCCTAGCATGCACAGGGTCCTGAGTTTGATACTCACCACCACCACAAAAAATAATAAAATAAAATAAAATAAGTGAAGAATTCCCTGTAGCTCAGCGTTCATTTACACACAAGGGGCTGGAAACTTCCTATAGCAACTTCAGACACTGGCTACTCCAAGCATTTTATAAGATAACTTATGATCAATGAAAGGTCATAGTATTCAAGGAACACAATTAAAATGCACCCCAGCTAGGGTTCTTAGCTCTGGCTGCTCACGAGACCCACCTGAGAAGCTGTCAAGTCTTGGTCCCTGGGCTCCACCCCAGACCAATTGCACCAGCTTCTTGGAGGTTGGTCTGGCCAACAAGATGGTTCCCCCAACACCCTGAGTGATTCTAACATATAGCCAGAGTAGCAAGCCACTGGTCTAGGAAGTCCAGTGGATGGCATTGGACTTCAGGTGCTGTTTCTGCATTCTTCCCATCTCTCCTCTGCCAGCTTCACAGAAGGGCTCCCACCTTATGACATGGGCTGTCCAATAGTCTCAGGACTGTCCCAGCATCCCAAGTTTCCTTTGCCAATTTTTTAAAATGTGTATGTGTGTGTTGCTTGCATGCATGTAAGTACACCCGTGTTGTGCAATGCCCGAGGAGGTCAGAAGAGGGCATCAGATCCCCTGGAACTGGAGTTACCAACCATTGTTAGCCACCATATGGGTGCTGAGACTCAAACCCTGGTCCTTTACAGGAGCAGCCGGTGCCCTTAACTGCTGAGTCATCTCTCCAGCCCCCTCCTTTGCCAATTTTTGACCAAGGTGTTGGAAGCCAGAGAGGTGAGTGGTGCTTGGCACAGTGGGGAAGGAGGTAGGTGAGTCATGTGCATCACACACTTGGTCATGTAGGAGGAACTGGGAGAGAGGCAGCTTGACCACTCCCCTCCTCTCCTGCAGGATGCTGTGGGAGGGCGTGGGGGATTGTGTCCACCCAGTGAACAATTTTGTCAGCAATTTCTGCAGATTAGCTGGATCTTTGCTCCTTTCATTTCCTCTTCCCATTCTCTGTGACTGTGAACTACCAGAAGGGCCTGGCATCAGAAAAGAGGGTTATAGTGACAGTTTCATTTTCACACTAGACAATACCCAGCAAGTGGCACATTGAGAATCTGCCAGAACATGCCTGTCATGGACATGAGCCCAGAAGGATGCATGTGAAGCTGTGATTTTGCATATGATTTCAGGGTGTCAGCCACACCACCCATACCTCCACAGAGTCAAGGTCAATAGCACCTCTGTTGGGGTCTTTGTTTCCAGATGTTGAGACCCTTATTAGTCAGATGTACAAAATGTAAAGGAAAGACCAGGGCAGCTTTACCCATGGTGGAGGTATGTGGGGGTGTGGGGATGGGTACTACTGCTCGGATAAGAGCGAATCCCAGCAACTGCTTATCTCCACAGTGCGGAAATTTTTATTTTTACCCACATTTGTCTAATCGATGTTTCTCAAACTTTAGGGAACATCCTGTGGAGGGTTTGTGGAATACAGACCACTAGGTCTCAGACATTCCTGACTCAGGAGGTCTGGGCTGGGGCAGGAGAAATGAGCATTTCTAACAAATGCCCTGCTGCCTCAGAAGCCACTGATCTGTGGGCCACACTGAGGAGCCAGGATCATACCTCTGCTCATCAGCACAGCTACAGGTCCCAGAATGGAATAGGACACTGGATTTGAGCCAGAGTGGTTAGCTATGCCCTGTGCTGAAAACATCATTGGTTCTTTGCTTGGTGTGAACTTAGCTTTTTTTAGGCTTAAACGTTCACATTAGCATAATAATGAGCTATTTGTCATGATGTGAAAAGCATCTCCAACTTGCATAGAATGCTCCACACTTTATTTAGTGATCTTGAAGAATCCCAGCTCAAGTGGCAAGATTTCTCTTGCTCTTTATCTTCAAGACCATTGTTCTCAGTTTTGGAAAAACCCAAGAGTAAGAAATAAACTGGGGTACCGAGCGTGGTGGCACATACCTTTTAGTCCCAACACTGAGGAGGCAGAGGCAGGTGGATCTCTGTGAAATCAAGGCCAGCCTGGTCTACATAGTGAGTTCCAGATTAGCTGGGGCTGCAGAGAGACCCTGTCTCAAAAAGACAAAAAAAGAAACAGAGAGCCCACTTGCCCTTTGTACAAAAACTTTCTATGATTAAGGAATGCTTGTGCTGATGGGGAGGACACTTCTGAGTTTATTGCCTTGCTAAGCAGACTTTTGCAGCTGTTGGCAGACCAGCCTTCCTCCAGTGGACATAATTGAACTTGGTCCTGAGGTACAGTGAACCAGGGCTGAATTTCTTTCCCACATCAAGTTTGATGTTCTAGGGTAATGTTACTCAAACAATTGTGCACACAAATCACTACGGATGTTGTTAAAATGCAGAGTCTGATGCAGGACATTGGAACAGGGTCCAAGTTCGCAGGTCCAGTGAGCTCCAGGGTGATGACAATGCTGATATCTGTGACACCTGGGGACTTTTCTCCACAACCTCTTCAATGAAAATCAAAGCAGGGGTTGGAGAGATGGCTCAGCAGTTAAGAGCACTGGCTGCCCCCGCAGAGAACTCAAGTTCAGTTCCCAGCACCCACATGGCAGCTAACAATCCTCTATAACTCCAATTCCAGGAGCTCTGATGCCCTCTTCTGACTTTCTTGGGCATTGCATGCATTGTGCACTTACACGCAGGCAAAGCACCTAAAAATAATTTTAAAAAATTTAAAAAAGAAATCAAAATGAACGCTTAAAATAGTCCTTTTAGAGCTGTGGAGCTGGTTCAGTCACATGAAGAGTTTGCTGCATAAGCATGACGATCTGAATTAGAATCCCCAGGACACATGCGAAGGCTGGGTGTAGCAGTATGCATGTCATCCCGGTACTGAGGAACAGAAATGCTGGATTCCTGGAGCTCACTGGCCAGCCAGCCTAGTGGAACTGATGAGCTCCAGGCTCAATGAGAGATTCTGTCTCAAAATACAAGGTGAAGAGACTGGAGAGACGGCTTAGTGTTAAGAGCACTGTCTGCTCTTGCAGAGGACCCAGGTTCGCTTTCCAGGTTGTCCAGCACCCAAATAGCAGCTAATAACCATGTGTAACTGAAGTTTCAGGAGATCTAATGCCATCTTCTGACTTCCGCAGGGCATTGTACAACCTGGGTGCGCTTACATACATGCAGGTGAAACACTCATACATTAAAAAAAAAAAAAAAGTAACTTGGGGGGCAACTGAGAAAAATATTTGACGTTGACCTCTGGTCTTCACAAGCATGTGCATACATGTGCACCTGCTTATGCACTCACAAATACATATCACACACACACACACACACACACACACACACACACACACGCGCGCGCGCACGCACGCACGCACGCACGCACAAACTCAGAGTCTTTTTATAGACCTGCTAATCTGGGCTTGCTTTAGAAAGAGAAATGTTTCATCTTTAACAGTGATGGAGTTAGTGGGTCCAATATGTGACTGTGCTTTCAATTAGTCAGTGGATAACCTCCTGAGTTTTCATGTTCTCTGTGAACTTGCTGTGGGGCTCAGAGTGCAGGGGGTGTTTGCTGTCTGAATGAAGGGACATATTTGACTGTCCTCTTACAGCTAACCAACAGCAACCCATTTCTTAGGTGTTCATGACATAGTCAACTTAACATTCCTGAAAAATTAGATTGAGAAGCTATTGGGTAGAAGATGGGGTGGATACAGCGAAGGGTAAGTTGACTTTAATGGTCCCTTAAACTTCTCTGGTGGCTGTTGAGAATGAACTGAAGGAAGACAAGAGTAAGTATGAATGAGGGCAGCTTTGGCTCAAGTGTTAGCAGCGGAGGTGGTAGGAAAGGTAGACAGACTCTGGATGTATTTTGTAGGGGAAATCAAGAGAATCCCTTTGCAGACGATGTGAGGTATGAAGGGTGGGTCCAAGGCTTTTGGCCTGAGACCTGGAAGCATGGAGCTTTCATTGTGTGAGCCGGGTGAAGCAGGCATGGGAAGGGTAAGTCAGGAATTCCATTTTGGATATAATAAGACAGTTTCCTGCAAAAGACAGTTGAAGAGAAAGGGGTATCTGGCTGAGGAAGTGGGCTCTGCGCAGGAAGGAGACGCCCTCATGGCCAACAGTGGGCTTCCTCCTTACTTGAAGTTTGGCTAAGCCAAGGTCACGCTCTGGAAGAGGTGGGTGTTGTGGCAAAACACTGACAATGTGCAAAATAAGGAATATTTGAGTAAGAGGAAATACAATGGACATTTCTTTTTGTTTCTTTATTAATAAGTAGGGATACACAAAGACTTGATAAAAAGTTACATAAAAGGCTCAAGCACTGAGATGATCACTTGTTTCATAACAATGGCCACCAGCTAATATTGTGTCGTAGAAGGCTGGGCACTCAAAGGGGCTCAGTAACTCAAAGTATCTGGCATTCTTGGTAAACCCAGCCCAACATGGAATCTTGACCTAGATGGGCTGTTGATGGAGAGGACCCTCTCTGTGGCTCTGGGCTTACTATAGCAGGCCTGAGAGGCCTTTGGGTTAGAGCTGGCTCATATTACTGGGTCATGTCCCTTGGTAGGCATGACAGACCACTCTAAACCAGTCAGGTACTTTCCACAGCAAGAGCCAGGAGGAGGTGGGAATATCCCAAGAGGAGCATCCTGTATGGAAAAGTGCTTGGGAGGAAAGTGGCCATCGCATAGCCCCATTCTGGGGATGGAGAGATGGTTAGGATTAGCTCTGAGGAGATAAAGAGCATCTAAGGAGCTATCAGAACAGCAGGAGAAAATCAGAACACACGATAGGCAGGGTGACAGGATTTCAGGAAGGTGTGCCCCAGGGGATAAGAAGGGGACACAGTTTCCTAGAAAACGAATGGGAACATCAGAATGACAACTTAGCCAGAGCCAGCAGGTAGGTCCTCAGTCATACAGCCACATTTCCAGTGGCCAGCCAAGTTTCCCAGACTGTCAGTTGTTAATGGAGATGTGCTGGGTACACTTTACCCTACCTCACTGGAAAAAAGCATGCTGATCATCTTGCCTATGGGCCATGGACAATGAAAGCTTACCAGGAGCCCCAGATCAGAGGCTGCAGAAGGCCAGATGTTCGCCTGTTTCTCCCTCAGCATGTGGAGTTAATCTGTCAGCTGTTCAGGATGCTCTGAGGGATGGGTCTGGATGCACTGCTTCTTCTGAAGCGGGCAGAAGTGGCAGGAACCTCCCCTCCCATTACCTGTATGGCCAACTGATCTGCTTCTGGGGAGACTTCCCAACTCAGCACTGTGGGGGGCGCTCAGCTCCACAGTGATGGGGGGAGCTGATGTCGGGTGTATGTATGAGTGGGAGCTCTCTAGGACTGGCTGCTGCCCTGAGTCCAGGGCCTCCTGGCTCAGCACTTCACACAGAGCATCCCATCCTTGCTCCTTTCTGCCTGCCCTCCCTCCTCTGCAGGCTGCAGCAGCCATAGTGAGGCTCAGGGAACCTAAGCCTGGTTCTTTGAGTACAGAAGATATTCATAAATATTATAGGACCTTGGAAACTGTGACATGCCTCATCTGGAATGTTCTAATTCTTCTTTTTAAGGATAGAAAAAAGGGTTCATTTTGACATATAAGAAGTTTGATTTTCAGCTAGTTGATTTCTGTTTTCTTCGGCAGCAGAATGATTCCTTGCTGGGGTCCCTCTGTGCTGGTGACCCTGTGTGAGGAGCCTAAATCTTTCTGGATTGGAGAAGAATGATGAGGCTGGACATCCAGTGAGGTGTTCACTTTCCTTGGATTTCTGTCATGAGTCTCTTTCTCCGGAGAAGCCAGGCAAACTGTGGAGATGCTCTGCTCGCGCAGAGACCTGACCTTCGAAGCAGCTGGAAAATGAGCTTGCTACATGTGCTGTGCATATTCTGACCTTTTTGCAGGAAGATCTTCCTGCTAACCCTCTACCCTGATCCTGTCTGGGAAAATCCTGTCTTTATTCCACTAGCAGCACCAGAGAGGAAGGGCTGCATCATCGTCAGGGAGAAGGGGATGGACAGGACTATCCCTTGCCAAAACAGGTGTATGGGAGCCATGTCATCAACTCAACTTTCAAACCTTCCAACTTTCCTTTCTCTTTTGATCCGATATTATTAAGACTTAGAAGAGGGTTATAGGTGTGTATACCAGTAAGACTGCGCTGCTGCTGATGCTAGAAAGGGGTCCGTTTATGGCCTAGGTCCTGATGTTCAGTGATAACAGTATTGAAGACTTTCAGTTACAATTCCTGGAAATAGAGCTTTCTGGATGGTGTCACATTTGCTTCCTTGATGTGTCTGTGTGTTTGTGTCAAAGGCACCAGCAACACTGGTGATGTCCTATCCATGTCTGGGAATAGAAACACTTCTGCAAAGCCAGTCAGCTCACCTCAGCCACTCTCAGGACCACGAAAATCTCTCTAGAAGTGACTTGTGCCCACCTGCTACTCAGGGTGGGGGTGGTGGGGATGTGTTTTCTAACCTCTGCGTTTTCAACCACACCAAATCCCTCTGGGTAAATCTATCTCCTTCTCTCCAGTCTTCAGTGCCCGTTTTCCTCCTGGGTTTGACTCATAGCCCAAGGTTTCTAGAAAGGTCATCACCAACTTCTGCCCTCTCTGACAGTCTGCTTTCATCCCAGATGGAGTTTGGCACTGCTGGGAACACTCAGTCAGAGACATTATCAGAGAGGTCTGCCAAAGACTTGGGGCTTCACCAGGCAGTGGGCACAGACCCTTTTAATAAAATAATCATTACTCAAATAATTTAAAAATCTACAAAAGACATCTGATCTCAGATATGGTAGATAGGGGCAGGGGAGGAAGCTTGTTCATGGCTTGTCTGATACCTTGTATGTGGATAAACGCTTCCACGCCCTATTAGCCCTATGTAGTTAAGAGAAACAACACACCTACCAAGAGACTGGACAGTGGGCTGAATCAGTACATGAAAGGCTTAGATATTGTTGCTTGTCTCCTGGGAGAGATAGCAAAGCCAGACCCTGTTGGCTCCCACCTATCCTCCCTTCCTCCCTTTCTGTGCCCGGTCCAGGGCCAAGGGTTGTGGTTAGAAATGATTCTCAGTGCAATTAGGCAGTGGGCAGGTCCAGAGGGGCTGACAGTTCACAGTTGCTATGCCCAGGGCCTCAGGCTGTCACAAGATCACGCACTGCAGTTTGTGGGTGCCAGTGGTCCGGTCTCCCCGCCACTTTGTTTTTTTCTTCTTCTTCTGGCTTTTCTCTGGAATCTGTTGCCTTTTGAACAATGAAGGGCGGAAAGACAAAGTCAGAATGGGCTTGACGTCTCCTCCAGCCTCTGTTACTCCTGGGTTGGAGAAGGAGGCCTGTTCTGATGCACCTCGGATGAAGGGACAGACTGAGGGTGCTGCTGTCTTGGCCAGAGGAGATCTGGCTGGGTAGCGAATCTTAGTTCAAGGAGACTGAGGGGGAGGGAGAAGGAAAACCAGACTCATCTACTGTGGAAATTAGTGACATTGGGCAGTGGTCATATTTATTCAAATCATAAGCCCCATTGTGTTTTGGGCTTTATAGAGTTGACTTCTGTTTCTGTGTTTTGTATTTTAAATAAAATAACTGCTGATCTAGATGAAAAATGAATATAAGGCATTTGAAGACATGGGTTGGGCTGCTAGGAATGTTAAAGATTTAGGAAACTGACTAGATGGTAGAGGCAGCGAATACAGCCACCCAGCATGAAGTAAGGTCAGGCCCCTGACTCTTTTTCTTTTTTTTCTCTTTTTTGAGACAGGGTCTCCCTGTAACCCCAGCTGGCCTGGAACTCCCAATGTAGACCCCTCCCCAGCGCTGGACCACTTGACCCCTGCTGGGGACTCTTAATGTTCAGGAATCTGTTTCCTGGCTGCTGACACTTGGACACCCACAGCCTGAGGGTCTGGGAGGACATACATGGGGCCTCTAGAATTTGAGCCCAGGAGCACGCTTGGCAGTTCAGGGGTTAATGCTGCAGGGCTTCCCAATATCAGGGCTGAGGCAGAAAAGGAGCCTGCTTTGTACCATGTTGGACATGTTGAAAGCTCTGGGTTGAGAGAGCCCCAGATGCACAGGAGAGGGCTACCTCATCTCAGTGGAAGAGTTTCTATTGAGCACATGCAGTGTCCACACACCCTCCTGGTTAATGGCTGGGGGCAGGGCAGAAGTGGGAGGAAAGGGAGGGAGAGAAATGGAAAGAGGTACAAGAAATCCTACATCAGGCTCAGAACTGCCCAGACTCCTGGCCCAGCACAGGAGCTGTGTCCCCCTGTGTTCCAGTCACAGCATGGCCTTCCTCCTCCAGCATAGAGGTGCCAAAGAGAGGTATACTGTTGGGGAGGGATGCTTACCTAATTACTCTAACGAGGTCATGGAAGGCTTTGTCCACATTAAGAGGTGGGTCCTTAGCACTGGTTTCTATATATGGGATCTGGAAAGCAAAGCTCGATTTGGTCAAAGTGGCACCGAGACCCACAAAGTCCTCTTCCACCCTTTGAAGTCCTCAGAGGTTCTGAAGATCCTGCAGAACCTCGGAAGCCACAAGCCTCCAGAGCTTCTTGCCCTGTAAGGCTACAGGGTTTCATTAACGGCTTTTCTAATTTCCTTTTGTTCTCTAGTCCCAGAGATGCTCTCTAAAATAGAATCAAAATGATCTTTTTATATACTTGAAGACCAAACTCTTTCATTTCTCACACTATGGTGTACTGTGATTCTCTTTGGGCCTCTTTCTAAGGTGACCTCTGACCTTTGTCCAAGGTTCCTCCAGGGCAGACATGAGTGGAGAAGGCTGAGGAGAGGTGAGCTGTGAGAAAGACTCTGAACTTGGATGAGACTGACCACCTCCCCAATCCCCAGCACCCCAGCCCAGCCCAGCTCTTGTTTGCCCTGTGTCTGTGAGCCCAGGAGCCCCGCCATGTGTTACACAGCATGCTGCCACTCTACTGAAAGGGAACACCATGAGTGAGCTGTGGCTGAGACCCACAGGCCATGATTGCACCAAACCTTGGTCTGGCAAAGTACAACAAAGGCCCTGGGAGGTCAGAATACAATTCTAGATCCTACGACAAGGACCCCTGAGAATCAAGAAGTGCTCACTCCCCGCCGCACAAGGAGGATGAGGGGTTCAGCGACAGACACTGGTCTCCCGGCACGGGAAGGAAGTAAGCAGTAAGCCAATGGAGATTAGACTGAAGGACTTTGTTATTTCTCATAACTTTTTTTTTCTGATTACAAAATTAGGGCCTTTTATTACATTTGACAAATTTAAGTACAGTGAAGAAAATAAAAGTGATCCATCCATTAAATGCATGGGGAGAGTACCAGAGCAAGCTACTGTCAGAGGAGTTGGTGGGGCGCCTTGCCCAGGACACACAGGGACCAGCATCCATGCATCAACTATCACTGTGTGAGGTCAGATGTTCACACACTGCAGTGGCTTCAAGCAGAGGTCTAATTGTAGCTGACAGACACAAAAAGGGCAGGGCACAAAGGGCCCAGCTCAAGCCTTTGAAATTTTCATTTGAGACTCTGATACCACTAAAAGGGCACTGCCCTCTACTGTATGTTGTTCCACCGTGGGGTAGTTGTTTGGCTTCTGTCCTGGTTTGTTTCTCCACTGCTGTGACAAAACACTCTGACCAATACCAACTTGGGGAGGAAAGGGTTTATTTTATCTTACATCTCCTGGGTCACAGTTCATCAGGGAGCCCATGGTAGGAACTCAGGGCAGGAACCTGGAGGCAGGAGCTGGAGCACAGGCCATGGAGGAATGCTGCTTACTGGCTTGCTCCCCTGACCCCTGCTCAGCCTGCTTTCTTATGCAACACAGTCCCACCTGCCCAGGGGTGGCACCACCCACAGTGGGCTGGGCCCTCCCACATCACTCAACAATCAAGAAGGTGCCCCATGGACATGGCCACAGACCTGTCCTATGAAGGCAATTCCCCAGTTGAGGCTCCCTCAACCCAGTTGTGTAAAGTTTAGTGACACTAAAGCTATCCAGCACAGCTTCCCAGGTCTCCATGTTCCTGCCACAATTATCCCTCAAGGCCAGTGCCATCCTGCAGTGAGGCGCCTGAGCTAAGAAGGATGTGCCTACAGGAGCTCTCTGTATGTGACCAGCAGAGAATGACAGCGAGAACCCCGGGTACCTTCCGCGTCCCTGCCTGGCCTCCCAAGAGCAGCTGCAAGTTGAGGTCAGGTTTAGAGCCTCTGGTGAGCCAGGCACCGTGTCCAGGTAGATGTCCCTGATAAGAGGCCAGTAGAACCCTGCTTATAGATCAGGACACCTTACAGCCCTGGACACACCAGAAGGGAAGCAGGAAATCACCTACAGCCAGAGCCCCTCAGCATCCTGTGCTCCTGGGAACCCCATAATCCTCAGCTTCCGGGGGGGTCTCTGAACACTGGTGTTTGTGGTCCCACCTTTCTCTCTCTCATACCAAATACAGTCTGTAAGCAAATGCTGCTGGCCCTCAGAAATACAGCCCAGCTCCACCACCCTCTTGCTACCTTCACAAGCACCTGATGGTGCAGGTCAGCCTCAAGTCGGTAATTTGGCAGCCCCTGCTGTGACTCCCTGTCCTCTTCCTCCCCCAGTGGACCATCCTCAACATGTCACAGGAGAGAAGCTGCTGAGACCCTGTCACACCTCCCTCTAAACCATTCAGTGGTTTCCCTGCTCACTCACTGAGGTGTGCAAAAGCCCCCTCTCTGACTTCACCTCCCATAGTTTGCCCCCAGCCCATCTGCTCGGCCACGCTGGCTTTCTGGCTGGCCTGCAAGCTCTAAACTCAAGGCTTTTGCACAGATTATTTCCTCTGCTAGAATGTTTTTCTTCAGGTATCTGCCTGACCATTCCCTGGCCTCCTTTAGTCCTTGCTGAAACGGACCCAAGACGCCCCCTGTACTTCACAATCCTGACTTGTTTCCACAGGATGTGCCACCTCTGGACAGGTTATAACTTGCTTTGCTTATTGCCTGTCTCCGTCACTAAAGGTGAGCACTAAAAGACAGAATTTCTGTTTCCCAGGACCCAGGGTGCTGGATTAATAAGTGAAGGAACACAGAAGACAGATGGGCAAGGCTCCCAGCATGCCTTCATGTGTAGGCAAGTGAGGGGATGGGGCCACCCTGTATCAGACTTTCTGGAAATCAGAGCAGGACTGGGTGTAAAATGAACCCAAGGAGGCCAGGGCACGGACTGTGCCAATATGGGGGTAAGGAGCAGAGACCTCAGCTAACACTATCCAGAAGGCAAGGGCATTGCAATGAACTAGGATAGCTAGGATGCCTGTGAAATGGTGTAGCCTGGGTAACCTCAGTGTGAACATTGTCAAGTGAGGATAATAATGCCTATGGTAAGGTGGGGTTGTGAGGGGACTTTAGGTCCAGGCTTCCCCAGTGCAATGCTAGGCATGGAGCAGGCTCAGTAAACAGAGCTGATCTTGGTGACTCAGCATAGCCAAGTGCTGGCTCCTGAGTAGGAAGAACTACCACCTCTATACAGACCAGTGCTGAATCTGCCCTGCTAGAGGCAGGGCTGCCCTCTGCCAGTAAGCAGGCTGAATACTGCAGCCTTCAGGCCACTTTGAAGGCAGCTGTCCCCCACCACAGCTGCTTATGGCTGCTTCTTAAGAGTGCTTCCTCTCTGGCATACTGCTCTTTCAAAAACTATCCCCCATTACATTGTACCCTCCGGCGTCTCCGTGGAGTCTAGTTGTTCTGAATGAGGTCCTAATCCCATTTCCAAAGACCAGCACTGCAGGAGAGATGGCCTACAGACTTTCACACACACAGCCCTGAGCTGCCAACACACACACACACACACACACACACACACACACACACACACACGCACGCACGCACGCACACACGCACGCGCACACACACGCACACCTACATTGTGTTTGGTCGCCATTTCTTTTCCTTGCTCCCTGGTAATTTTCCTCAGGTGCATCAAATCAACCTTGTTAGCCACGAGGATCATTGGGAACGATTCCCTGGGAAGTAACAAAAACAAACAAAACAGTCACCACGTGAGGTTCTCTACTCTGCCCTGCCAGGTCAAGGTGATACAGTCAAACCTTGGGCAAGGCCCATCTCACAGAGCTTCCTAGGTCTCCTCTTTTCTGGAGGAGATAAGCGCTTGGGTAGATGTGGCCAAGGCTGCTCCTTGTCTTGTCTTGAAGCCTTAGGCCTATTGCAAGGCTAGTGTCAAGCCTAGCCTGGGTCTGCTGACATGAGTCTGGCCTCCCAGGCTGCTCCCCACTTCTCCGTTGCTGTGATGTCCCAACCATGTAGGCTACCGTGGCTCTCAGCAAGGATTCATGAAGGGCACCAGGGACAGGGACTGACACACAATTGGTTCTCCATAAATGGCAGCTGTAAATGAGGATAGTTCCCAGAAGAGGAAGTGCTTGAAGATCAGAATGTCCCCTACACACTCTTATGGACACATGCAGCCAAACTGCTGTCTAAATCAAATGAATGATCATCAGTCTCACAGCGTTTGTTTTGTTTGTTTGTTTGTTTAGCAATGTTGGATATTTTCATTTAAAAATTGTAATTTGTACTGGGCATAATGGCACATACCTTTAATTCCAGCACTCGGGAAGCAGAGGCAGGAGGACCTCTGTGAGTTCAAGGCCGGCCTGGACTACACAGCCAGTTCCAAGCCAGTCAGAGCTACATAGTGAGACCCTGCTTCAAAAAAAGTTGTAATTTAGCCAGGCATGGTGGCGCATGCCTTTAATCCCAGCACTCAGGAGGCAGAGGCAGGCGGATCTCTGTGAGTTCAAGGCCAGCCTGGTCTACATAGTGAGTTCCAGAACAGCTGGGGCTACAGGGAGACCCTGTCTCAAAAAGACCAAAAAAAAAAAAAAAAAGAGTTGTAATTTGATACTAAAATGCTATTTTATTATTTCTTTGATTAGCAGGAAAATTAAAGTATTTTACCACAAGCGAAACATTTATGTTGTCTCTTGGGATTTATACACTTGGGGGCTGAGCTCACATTGATCTATTGCAGCTTGCTTTGTGTGTCTGTGTCCCTTCACCCAGTAAAGTTACAAACCCTTCTTTCTTTGGAACAGGTATTAGCTGGATTTTTCCATCTTTCTGGGGATTTCATCAAACCTTGCTATTTTTTAAAAATATGTATTTTTTAATTTTATTTATTTTTATTTTATGTGTTTGCATGTATTGCGTGTATTGTAAGTAAGTGCACCTGTGTCATGCAATGCCCACAGAGGACAGAAGAGGCTATCGGAATCCCCTGGAACTGGAGTTACAGACAGTTGTTAGCTGCCATGTGGGTGCTGGCATTCGAATCTGGGTCCTCTGCAAGAACAGCCAGTGTTCTTAACTGCCGAGCCATCTCTCCAGCACCAAACCTTCTTATTTTTCTTCATTTCATTTTCTTTACATTACTTCTTTGAGTGACAATACTTGCTGACTGACAATACTAGCTGGGCTTAAAATAGACTCTGGGTTTACTTAATTATTTTATACAATGCTAAGGAAAAAAGAGCCTTTAATCAGGAACTTATAAATCTTGTAGTCAAATGTAATTTAACCAATTTCAACGTATTTAGGAGAGAAAATTCACTTTTTCTTTGAATATAATGTAATTAAGTTAAATTGGAGTTGGAAAACAAAGATGTGACCAACCAGTGATTCCTTAACTGAGAGGACAGTTTGTAAAGATGAGGAAGCTGATGACTTGGAGCCTTGGAGGCAGTTTATCCCACAAAGAACCAGGGGGGCAGCTGGGAGGGTGGCGCACACCTTTAATCCCAGCACTCAGGAGGCAGAGGCCTGTGGATCTCTGTGAGATTGAGGCCAGCCTGGTCTACATAGTGTATTCCAGGCCAGCTGGGGCTACAGGGAGACTGTTGAAAGAAAAGAAAGAAAAGAAGGGAGAGAAAGAAAGAGAAAGAAGCAAGGGAGAGAGAGAGAGAGAGAGAGAGAGAGAGAGAGAGAGAGAGAGAAAAGATACAGAGAGAGAGATTTTTTTGTCTATTTTTTGGGAAGAGAAGAGAAGAGAAGAGAAGAGAAGAGAAGAGAAGAGAAGAGAAGAGAAGAGAGAGAAGAGAAGAGGAGGAGACCAGAGGAAGTAACCAGGAGATCTGTGGGGAGGGAAGAGGAAAGGAAGAGGAGGGAGGGGAAAACAGTGCCTCCCATAAGCCAAGAGCAGGAGTGGGGAGGCCCGCCCGCTGCCCTCACCTGTCCTTGACACGCAGGATTAGCTGGTGAAAGCGGTCCACGTGCTCGAAGCTGGCCTTGTCAGTGACGGAGTAGACGATGAGGAAGCCATCCCCGGTGCGCATGTACTGCTCTCGCATAGCACTGAACTCCTCCTGCCCGGCGGTGTCCAGAACTAGAGAGTGATGAGGCTACTCAGGGAATGCCCACAGCCCGGCTGGTGCCCCCCATGACCTGCAGAACCCCAGGTGGCTGCCGCCGCCACCCGTCCCCACTGTGGCTCAGTCCCCGCTCTCTCCACAGAAGACTCTCTGGCTCCTCTGGCAGCTCCAGCCACCCCAGAGGCTGCTTTTGTGTACAGCTCTGCCTGGCTCATTTCAATCCCGGGGCTCCCTGGACCTCAGTTCTTTGAGCCAAGGACAAGACTCATGTAGTCAGTGATCAACTGTCACAAGTCCCTCTGGAGATCCCAGAGCTGAGCTTGGATCCCTGCTACAGCCCTTACAAAGTGCAGTTCTTGCGGAAGTACCTGACTCTCTGAGCCTCCATTTCTTCTTCCACAGGATAGAAACAGGGCCAGCACCTTGAAGCCCTCGGGTGGGGAGTGCAGGCTTCTAGAGGAGCCTGAGGAAAACTCCAAGGTAACCATCCCAGCCAAGGACTCTTTGGCCTCGGTGCGAACACTAGACAGGCCTCAAGGAAGCAGCTCTCAGTAGTCAAAGTCTTTGACCTCTTAGGATGGGAGTGGCAGGAAGCAGGCAGAGTTGAGGAACACTGGCAATTCCCTTCAGCCTCCAATCCCCCTCGCCACTCCTAGGGCTCTGACCCCTGACATCCACTCTTTCCTCCCTGACATACAGTGCTCCTGTCTAGTTGGGACCTAGTTCAAAAACTACCCACATTGTATTTGAATAACTAAATAAATGTAAGGCCAATCAGTTTCGTTCATTCAATAAATAGTTTTAATAATGTGTTTCTGTGTGTAGGTATGTGCAGGTGAGTGCAGTGCAGATGCAGGCCAGAAGAAGGAATTGATTCCCTGCGGCTGGAATTACAGACAGCTGTGACCTGCCCAGTCTGGGTGCTAAAACCACCCTTGGGTCCTCTGCTAGAGCAGTATGTGCTTAAGTACTCCAACAATTCTGGTCTTAACATGATGTCCTTATTTTGGTAATGAATAAAGGATATTTAACCTCGACTGAAGTCCTTGCTTTATTTGTGAAGAGGCTACAGATCCTAATTACATCCTGCTGCTGATAAAAAAGTATAAGCATACATACTCTTTTATACATATCATAAGTTTATGAAGAACAAAAATAAAACTTCAAACTCCTAGTTAATAGAAGAGAGGAACAGATACAGTTATGTTTAATATGATACAAATTTTGTGCAAGGATTACTGTATATTTAGCTGCCATTAAATTATTATGTAGCCTTTCAACTAATAAATAAAAAAGGGTTCAAGAGAACAGAAGAAGGAAGAACAGTGTAAATGAGACCAACTTGAAAGAAGACAAAAACAAATCTAATGAAAATAATCAAGCGTAATAAAGATATGAAACAAGACGGCAGAAATAAATCTATCAGAATTCCAATAATATTCTTCACAGAACTAGAAAAAAAAAATCCTAAAATGCATATGGAAGCATAAGATACCAAGTACCCAAAGGAACTCTGAGCAAAAGAGCAATGCTGCAGGTATCATAGTGCCTGATTTCAAATTACGCTGAACGTCTAGAGAGACTGAAACAGACACATAGACCCATGGAATAGAAAGCCAGAACCAAAAATACACCCATGAAGTTCCTGCTATCTGATTCTCAACAAAGGGGCCAAAACATACTTTGGAGGAAATGGTGTTGGGAAAACATGTCAATCCCTACCTCTTACCCTGTACTCAACTCAAAATGAATCAATGACCAGAAAATTTGAAACTATTAGAGGAAAACACAGGGGAAACAATTCAAGATCCAAACATGGGCAATGACTTTCTGAGAAGGACTACCATAGCTAAGGGATAACAGCAAGAACTGATGAAAGGAACCAATCCACAGAGCGACGAGACAGCCCACAGAGTGGGAGAAACATCTTTGCCAGTTATTTATCTAACAGAGAGTTAATATACAGAATATATAAAGACCCCCTTCCCAAAATTAAACACCCAAAGAACAAATAGCTCACCAAGTGTGGTGGCTTGCACATGTAATCCCAATGCTTGAGAGGTGGAAACAGGAGGATATCCGCAAGCTTGAGGTCTGCCTGGTCTGTATACTAAGTTCCAGGCCAATCAGGAAATAAATGGACAAAGGAAATGAACAGACAGTTCTCCAAAGGTGAAAGTGGCGCAAGCCTCTAATCCCCACAGTCAGGAGGCAGAGGCAGGTGAATCTTTGTGAGATTGAGGCTGGCCTGTACTACATAGTGAGTTCCAGGCCAGCTGGGGCTATAGGGAGACCCTGCCTAAAAAACAAACATCAAACAAACAACATTCCTCCCAAAGTAGAAATGGTGAATAAGCACATGAAAAAAATTCATTATCTTTAACAGTGAAGGAAATGAAAATCAAAAGTACATTGAGATTCTTTCTTATTCCAAGCAGAATAGCTATCAAGAAAAAGACAACCTGGGCTGACAGAGATGCTGGGTGACAGGAACCATATACACTGCTGGTGGGAGTCTAAACTGGCATAGCCACTAGGGAAATCAGTATGGAAGTTGTTCAAAACACTAAGAATGGAACTACTACACAGTCCAGCTATACCATTCCTGGGTCTATACCTGAAGGAATCTATGCCCGCACACAACAGAGATACCTACACAACCCATGTTTACTGCAACACTTCAGAGTGGCCAGGTTAAGAATTAGCCCAAGTGACCGCTGAGGGGTGAATGATAAGGAAAATATTTTATGTCTGTGTGTGTGTGTGTGTGTGTGTGTGATCTATGTGTATAGATGTGTGTGTGTGATCTATGTGTATAGATGTGTATGTGTGTGATCTAGGTGTATAGATGTGTGTGTGTGATCTATGTGTATAGATGTGTGTGTGTGATCTATGTGTATAGTGTATGTGTGATCTATGTGTATAGATGTGTGTGTGATCTATGTGTATAGATGTGTGTGTGTGATCTATGTGTATAGATGCGTGTGTGTGACATCTATGTGTATAGATGTGTGTGGGATCTATGTGTATAGATGTGTGTGTGATCTATGTGTATAGATGTGTGTGATCTATGTGTATAGATGTGTGTATATGTGTGATCTATGTGTACAGATGTGTGTGTGATCTATGTGTATAGATGTGTGTGTGTGACATCTATGTGTATAGATGTGTGTGTGTGATCTATGTGTATAGATGTGTGTGACATCTATGTGCATAGATGTGTGTGTGTGATCTATGTGTATAGATGTGTGTGTGATCTATGTGTATAGATGTGTGTGTGTGATCTGTGTGTATAGATGCGAGCGTGTTATAGATGTGTGTATATGTGTGATCTATGTGTACAGATGTGTGTGTGTGATCTATGTGTATAGATGTGTATGTGTACAGATGCGTGTGTGTGATCTATGTGTATAGATGTGTGTGTGTGATATCTATGTGTATAGATGTGTGTGTGTGATCTGTGTGTATAGATGCGTGTGATCTATGTGTATAGATGTGTGTGTGATCTATGTGTACAGATGTGTGTGATCTATGTGTATAGATGTGTGTGTGAGATCTATGTGTATAGATGTGTGTGTGTGTGTGTGTGCGTGCGTGCGGTGTACTAGAAAGAAGAAAGAGATTCTAGAGATGGAGAGTGTCAGTGCAGGAGGATTAAGTGCAGGCTGCTTTTAGAAACCCACACGTAGCACTGCACGAAGTCTCACATAGGTGGGTAGCCAGCACTAAGCTGTACTAGTGTGGTCCCTCATGTGCCTATCAAGACCTCCTCTCTCCTCTTCCTCTTCTTCCTCCCCTCCTTCTCTCCCTCCTCCTCTTCTTTCAATTCCTCTTCTTCCCCTTCCAGTGTGGGTCTGGCCATCTAGAACCAGACCAGCTGTCTAGGTGCCATGTAGTCACTCAAGCTGTGCCCTCCAACGTGGAAGCCTATTCCCCTCTCTCTGGATGTTCCAGCTGCCCTCTGGCTCAGATGCGGCCCATGTCCCCTCCTCATGGGAGGTATCTGACTGCCACCTCTGAAACTTTCCTATGGCCTGTGCCCCCAGTTCTTGACACGTGTGCCTCTTAACCTGGCTCAGTGCCACACATTGTGGTGAAGTAGTAGAGGGCAGGAGCTGGACATTTGTTGCCCTGGACATCCCCCGAGGTGCAGCTCCCAAGAAGGGCTCAAAGCAAGGGGTAAGACACCTACTTGCTACAGAAAGTGCTGTGTCCATGCTGAAGCAGCTTTAAGGAAAAGCACTAAAAAGTGACTTTTCAACTTTCACTATCAGGGGAAAACAAGGGTTCCAGAACATGTAACCGTAAAAACAATGCTTTCTAGATATAATAAATACATCCCCAGGACTAGAGCTCTCTGCCTCTCTCTAATCCCCAGGACCTATGGTGGGAGGAAGGATGATCAAGCCTATTTTATAGCAAGCGAAGTGGGGAAGTCTGTGCCTTACTAGCCATCAATATGCATAAAGTCACATCACCTCACTGAGCATAAACAGTGACAGCCTTGCTCCTTCCTACTGGAACCGGGGTCAGGGTAGATAACAGAACAAGACTGGGCACTGGGCAGCCAGCCTGGCTGCACCAACCACTCACTATTCCCAGAAAAAGGGTGGCTTTCTTCAGCTTCTTCAAAGCACTGGCAGGGTGTGAAAGCCAAGCTACCTGGGATGGTCTCCAGGGAGAGAGTTAAAGTCTTACAGAGCCTCCAGCTGGCTCCCCGGCCATGGGAGAGGATTCCCTCTGGCAATGGTACCACCATCCTCAATATGATGGCTTAAGGACAACAGCAAGACATGTCACTAGCCGCAGGGATGCCTGCTCTGATGTCACACTACTCCAGCTGTGGGAGATGAGGAGGGAGGCTGTGGGGCAGGTTTGCATGAGGTAGAAGATCCCTTGAGTAGGGGTGCAAACTGTAGGTGTTAGTGCACATTCTGGGAATATGCTCTGTGGCTTTGTGGGGTTCTTAGAGAAGGTAAGAACCCCACTTTCTCAGATGGCATTCTCATAGAAG